AGACCCCACATTCACTATATCCGCTCTCCCCAGACCCCGCATTCACTATATCCGCTCTCCCCGGACCCCGCATTCACTATATCTGGTCTCCCACAGTACACAGAACATGAAAATGCAATTATTTTAGTAAATAAAAACTGCTAATTACCTTTTCTCATCAGCGGTTAGAGCAGTCTTGTGACTTCTATCAGCAGAGCACTGGTTAAAGCTTGTAGGAGGAGTTTTTCTTTCTGCTCTAGGAGGATGGAAATCCCCTGACCTCTGTCTGGACAGCGCTGATTGGCCCTGTGCTGATCACATGCACTCTCCCAAGAAAAAACAAATCCTCGAGCAATACACACTAAACTGAGCATGTGCATGTGGCTATGGGTTCAGTCTGTCTAATCAGGTAGATATTTGAACAAGAGGAAGGGCAGAGAAAACAGGATCAAATGGCCTTTTTACACAATGCAAAGGATTAACCCCTTAGGTTCCACAGTGAGTATAACAAGCATGCTTTACTGCACATACAGACTGGTTTTACTGCTGTGGGTTTAATAAAACTTTAACCTCCCTGGCGGTATGATTTATTTCCAATTTTTTGTGCTGAAAGCGGTACCATTGTTTTGCATGGAAATATGTAGTTTTTTATTGTAGGCTGTAATTTTTAGGAATAACTCACTGAAATCTGTCCAAACAAGAGTCTAGTAAACATCCCGGGGATGATAAAACTTGAAACACGAAATCATAAATTATAATTTAATAAGTAATCATAAAAATAATAATATAATAATAATAAATTTAATTCAATAATATAATCAAACCAAAAACACTGAAATTTGAAATACAGAGGCAAATTCGCACATCGCTGAGCAAAGTCGCAAAATCATTTTCAGTGTCTGATGAGGAATTTCCCCCATGAATCATTATCACTCAATTCTGCAAGTGGTTCTGATTTACTATCGCTGTTCTCTAGCCGGTCTAAAACCGCTTTTGACCTAAAGGGACGCTTTTTGGACGCCATGGACTTTTCTAAGTTTCCAGGCATAAAGAACAGTCAAAATGCAGGCAGGGCGCCGGACAAAGCACTCGGGACAAAATGTATGTGAAATGGTTTGATACAGGAATGTTTTACTATGTAATAATCATTTTTTAAAAAATTACTTCTTTTTTAAATTTTAAATTTCCCGCCGTCCCGACGTCACAGGGACCGGAACACGGAAGCCGGATGCCGGCATCGGCCGGAGGAGATGGCCGGGGACGCTGCAGGGGACACATCGCGGGAGCAAAGGACAAGGTAAGTGCTGCAGGGACTCCCTGAGCAACGCCGCATGGTAAGCCCGAGTGTAGCTCGGGGTTACCGCTCTTGGTACTCAAATTTTACCCCGAGCTACACTCGGGAATACCGCTAAGGAGGTTAAGCGTCTCTTCTCCAGCGAGAATATCTTTAATGTTTGTAGCCATTCCTTGTAATTGAGATCCTCCAGTCCCGTTATTAGCTTTGTTGTTCTACATTCTTCCTGAGGACTAGTGACCGGAACTGGACAGCATACTCCGGATGTAGCCGGACCAGAGTTTTGTAGACTGGTAGAATTATAGTTTTATCTCTTGACTAAATACCCTTTTTAACTACATGCCGCCCAGCCACTGTACATATACGGCGGCAGGGCGGCACTCGCAGGCAAAACCATGTTTTAAAACGTATGTTTTGTAAACAAATAGGGGGCGCACGTGAGGCGCGCCGCCGCCCTATCTGTCCCGCGGATCACCACCGCAGATGTCAGTCACCAGGTCACAGCCGCTCCTTAGCGGCTATGTCCTGGCGATCGGCGGCAAACAGTGACAGAGAGCACAGCTGAAGTAGCTGTGCTGTCTGTCACTTCCCTGTCAGCTCGAGGATGAGCTGATCGAGGAAGAACAGTTTCTCTTTCTCAATCAGCCTTGTCCCGCCCAGTACACACCCGCCCCCTAGTAAAACACTCCCCTCACTCCTATAACCCTTCCCTGCAAAATAAAGTTAACCCCTTCCTCCCCATTGCCATTAGTACAGTGTCAGTGTTTTTTTTTTTTTGCACTGATCACTGTATTAGTGATTAGTGTTTTTGGGGATGTCAGTGACCCCAAGTTAGTACCCCCCAATTTCAGAATGTCCGCCGCAGTCCTGCAGTCCCGCCATAAGTCGCTGGTCGCTGCCATAAGTCCCTGATCGCTGCCATAATTCGCTGATTGCCGCCATTATTAGTATAAAAAAAAAACTAAAAATCCCAGTATCTTTCCCGCCATTTGTAAACGCTATAATTTTCACGTAAACCAATTAATTTACACGTATTGGGTTTTTTTAGCAAAGACATGTTGCAGAATGCATTTTGGCAGAAATTTATGACTAAATTTGATTTTTGCATTTTTTTTTTTTTTACTGGACATGTTTTATTGCAAAAAGTCCAAAATATTGTTTTTTTTTCTCAAAATTGTCAGCCTTTTTTTTTATAGCGCAAAAAATAAAAACCGCACAGGTGATCAAATACCACCAAAAGAAAGCTCAATTTGTGGGGAAAAAAAGGATGTAAATTTCATTTATGTACCGTATTGCATGACCGCGCAATTGTCCGTTAAACTAGCGCAGCACTGTATAGCAGAAAAATGGCGTAAATTGCAGTATCTATACCATAGATTGTAGACGCTATAACTTCCACACAAAGCAATCAATATACACTTATTGGGATTTTTTTTACCAAAAACATGGAGCAGGATACATTTTGGCCTAAATTTATAACCAACTTTGAGTTTACTATATATTTTTTATAGCTGAAAGTAAAAAAATATTGTTTTTCTTCAAAATTTTTGGCCTTTTTTTTGTTTATAGCGTGAAAAATAAAAGGCGCACAGATGATCAAATACCACCAAAAGAAAGCTCTATTTGTGTGAAAAAAAGGACGTAAATTTGGTTTGGGTGCAGCATTGCATGACCGCGCAATTATCAGTTGAATTAGTGCAGCGCCGAGTAGCAAAAAGAGGCCTGGTCATTAAGGGGGGTAAATCCTCTGGGGGTCAAGTGGTTAATGTACTAATATTCTGCTAGCTTTGCTTGCTGCAGCTTGACATTGCATGCCATTGCTGAGCCTGTGATCTACCAAGGCCACCAGATCTTTTGCCATCCTGAATTCCCCCAGAGGTTCTCCCCCTAGAGAGGAACTTGCATTCATATTTTTAGCCCCCAGGTGCATTATTTTACATTTTTCAACATTAAACCTCATTTGTAGTTGCCCACCCCTTTATTTTATTAAGGTCTTCTATATCCTGTGAAGTTATTCCCCTACTTAGCTTTGTATCATCAACACACTTTGAGTTCTTTCATTTATGAATATTAAACAGAATTGGTTCCTGAACAGATCCTTGGAGTACCCCACTCACCAGACCATTCTGACTACACGCTATTTATCACCACCATTTGGACGCACCCAGAGGAGTATTTACCGCGAGGCAAACGAGCCAATTTTCGGGGGGGTGGCGACTTTGGATACAAAGGCTCCATTCACACTTGTATGACACCACATTTGGAGTGCAACTTTGGTGCATCTTTGATGCAACTTTATGAAACCAATAAAACAGAGCGCTCATGGTGGTGAAGGCCAGGGTGATGAAACGAGGACATACACAACCAACAGTCAATATGTCCGAATCTAATAATAATTATATTCCAGGACATCCCATGTAGTAATATGGCACTTAATGAAAACTGGCACAAGTCACATATTGAAAAGGAGTAATGGGAGTAGCTTACTGGGGGGGTGGCATGGCTGTGGAGAGTCTAGATGGTAAACTCAATGGATGGAAGAAGGGCAGAGACATCACGGCGCACTGGAAGTGACCTCAATGAAGAACAGGGAAGCCAGTGGCAGCCAGATGGTGGCTGTCGCTGGCTTCACTGAAGTCACTTCTGGTGTGCCGTAACGTCACTTCCAGTGTGCGATCTCCAGTGACACCAAGGAGGTCTTCCTGGTCTCTTGAGAGATACTATATTGGGCTTCTTGTCTGTGGATATACTCCTCACCATCCACGGCCCTTCTTCCATCCATTGAGTTTACCATCGAGACTCACAGTCTTGCAGGCCAGGGAAGGGAAAGGAAGGGGGGTAGGGTGAGCATGCAATAGTACTTAGCAACCATGGTATCAGGTTCAACTTGGCTGAATATCCATTAAAATCCACCATTTTCTGAATTTTCAAACAAGCAAAAACCTTGGTTCAGACAAAACTTGAAACCTATTCCTTGTGGTCAGTGTAGTGGTCTCTTACATTGGTGACCAGTGGGAGAAGGACCCTCTTATGTCAGTGTGGTGGTCCCTTAAATTGATGACCAATGGGAGAAGGACCCCCTTATATCAGTGGTCAGTGTAGTGGTCTCTTACGTTGGTGACCAGTGGGAGAAGGACCCTTTTATGTCAGTGTAGTGGTCGCTTAAATTGATGACCAATGGGAGAAGGACCGCCGTATATCAGTGGTCAGTGTAGTGGTCTCTTACATTGGTGACCAAAGGGAGAAGGACCGCCTTATATCAGTGGTCAGTGTAGTGGTCTCTTACATTGGTGACCAAAGGGAGAAGGACCCCCTTATATCAGTGGTCAGTGTAGTGGTCCCTTACATTGGTGACCAATGGGAGAAGGACCCCCTTATATCAGCAGTCATTCCTACATGCTCATCAGTAGGAAGACTTACAGATCATTGATATCAGTTGTTACTGAGAGACAGAAATTGTTCATTGCTGAAGGAACCCCTAGAAACCTTTGGAGGACCCCTGGCTGAGAAAGGCTGGACTAGGCAGTCATATATTTTTCTGTCCCCCTTGGTGGGTAGTGGAGGTGACCCCTCTATAAGGATCTACAGTCCATACACACCCAGCACAAGGCCGGGGTCACACTACCAGACGCTTCTCGGGGCTGCAGTTCCTCTGAGCTCCACAACACTTCTACAGGGAGAGAAAGTCTCTATGGAATACAGACAGGAAGTGATGTCAGGTACAGACAGGAAGTTCCCAGGTGAGAGGTGATTGGGGAGGAAGTAGAGAGGAGACGTTGGTGGAAGTGGCAGCAGAGGAGGTAATAAGATGTTATTTCCTATTTACACCCAGTAACCCCCCGTCATGTCCGTCCTCCATAGTCACGTCCGTCCTCTTCCTCCATAGCCACGTCCGTCCTCTTCCTCCATAGCCACGTCCGTCCTCTTCCTCCTCCGTCCGTCCTCTTCCCCCGTCACGTCCGTCCTCTTCCTCCGTAGCCACGTCCGTCCTCTTCCTCCAGCCACGTCCGTAGCCACGTCCGTCCTCTTCCTCCACAGTCACGTCCGTCCTCTTCCTCCACAGCCACGCCCGTCCTCTTCCTCCACAGCCACGCCCGTCCTCTTCCTCCACAGCCACGTCCGTCCTCTTCCTCCACCACAGCCACAGCCACGCCCGTCCTCTTCCTCCACAGCCACGTCCGTCCTCTTCCTCCACAGCCACGTCCGTCCTCTTCCTCCACAGTCACGTCCACGTCCGTCTCTTCTTCACGACCGTCCTCTTCCTACCACGGCCACGACCGTCCTCTTCCTCCCGGCCACACCGTCCCACGTCACGTCCGTCCTCTTCCTCCACGGTCACGCCCGTCCTCTTCCTCCACAGTCACGCCCGTCCTCCTCCCACGGTCACAGCCCGTCCTCGTCCGTCCTCTCTTCCTCCATAGCACATCCGTCCTCTTCCTCCATAGCACATCCGTCCTCTTCCTCCATGGTCATGTCCGTCCTCTTCCTCCATAGTCACGTCCGTCCTCTTCCTCCACAGTCCGTCCTTCCTCCCATAGTCACTGTGATGTCTTTTATCTCCAGCAGATGATGATACACACATATATAGTGTGGGAACCCAGATTAACCCCTTCAGGGGCACAACATTCCCCCACTTCCGGGGCCGGAACATTCTCCTCATTATAGAGTTAAATCCTAGTAATATGGTCCTTTGACAATAAATAGACAAAACTATGACCCTCCTGACAAAACATGGCCTATAAACAGGAGTGTAGCTACAGAGGTCGCAATGGTGACCTCCCACCTGCTCCAGGGGGCCCATCAGATGCCCTGGAACTGCAGCCAATCAGAAAATTCACAGCATACTTTCATGGGTGGCCAGGTATACAATACTTTGCATCTCGGGGGAGGCAATCCAATACCTTCCCCTGACAGACTCTGGAAGGGCCTAGTAATAGAATTCAGAGTTTCAGGAACCCACTGTTACTTTGTACAATATCCTGGATACTGCAGGTAACCAAACAAACATACAAATCACACCCCCTGCAAATATGGCCAAAAGGCGGCAAGTTCCCCTTCCTGGACATCATGTCAAACAAGTCAAAGGAAGGATCGTATTTATTATTCCTTGTCTGATGCTTTAAAAGTAATCAAAACTAGTTCAGAAACAAAAACAAACCCAACATAGAAAAGAGAATTTCTGATCTGACAGGCCAAGAGGGTCCCAGAACCTCAAAAATGTAGCAAATGGTAAACCATCCAGACTAAATTTGTTCCCATGGGTGCAGTAGTCCTTAAATGTCCAGCAACCCTCCTATTACCCCCCCCCCCCCCATCCAAATCCTATTATTGTGTGACCAATACCATCCAAATCATTCTTACTTTCATTTCCCAAAGTTATCCGTCTACAAGGAGACCTGTATAGATCACATGATGGCACCAATGAGGATGGAGGAGGACCGGAGTCACATGACTGAGAAGATACTAAACCTCACCCTGGAGATCATCTACCTGCTGACCGGAGAGGTGAGGAGGATTCTGGGAGGTCACATGACATCACTCTTATCTCTATTAATAAAACACAGACCTGACTGGAGAGGTGAGGAGGATTCTGGGAGGTCACATGACATCACTCTCATCTCTATTAATAAAACACAGACCTCGGAGAGGTGAGGAGGATTCTGGGATCACATAATAAAAACACAGACCTGACCGGAGAGGTGAGGAGGATTCTGGGAGGTCACATGACATCACTCATCTCTATTAATAAAACACAGACCTGACCGGAGAGGTGAGGAGGATTCTGGGAGGTCACATGACATCACTCTATCTCTATTAATAAAACACAGACCTGACCGGAGAGGGAGAGGTGATTAATAAAACACAGACCTGACCGGAGAGGTGAGGGATTCTGGGAGTCTAACATGATATTCCTATTGGTTTTCCAATACAGAGTTTCATCTTCTGAAGTCAGGTGATCCATATGACCATCACAGTGCCTCCATGTGACTCCCTAAACCCTGAGAGACACAACATGCAGAAGATTCTAGAAGTCACCAGAGAGAAGATGATGGAGCTGCTGACAGGAGAGGTGAGCGGTGCCGGGAATTCTGGGACATTCTCCAGTAACAGACAAGGGATGTGTCTGGATGGTGACTGTATCATTGTGTGTGTCAGGTTCCTATAAGGTGTCAGGGTGTCACTGTCTATTTCTCCATGGAGGAGTGGGAGTATTTAGAAGGACACAAGGATCTCTACAAGGACGTCATGATGGACAATCAGCCGCCCCTCACATCACCGGGTAAGAGGAGACTTTATTGTAAAGGAGAGAGCAGTACGGAGGATCCACCTAGATCCCCCATCATCTGATAAACACATAGAAACAATGGATTCAGTCAGTGTGTGTGTCCTGTACCCCGGGATTTCCTACAGATGGATCCAGTCATGGGAACCCACCAGAGAGATGTCCCCGTCCTCTGTATTCCCGGGATTCCACACAGGAAGATCACACCATCCCTCACCATCATCAGGTAGGATGACAATTATTGGGTTGGATTTAGCATCTAGAACATGGACTTGTGGAGACAATATGATGAGGAATGGAGTGATTTTTTATGATGTGAGTCCTCTTATATTTTTATCCCTAGATTATAGGTTGGTGGGATGAGAATCTAGAACATTCTGGAGACTTGGATTTTTTTTTAGTGTTTATATTTTTATAGTGAAATCTGATGGATTTAGGGGAAAAGATATAAAAGGTGAAATCAGAAGAAGAAGAGGCGTATGTGAGGGATGATCAGCAGTCTATGGAGGAGGATGGAATAACGGGGACATTTATAGAGGAGGACACTCCTACAGAGATCAGCACAGGTGGGTCATGAACACTAAATCCATTCCTCCACCCATACTGCTCACTGATTGGTCCAGAGTAGGGCGGGGACTGGGTGATATCAGCCTGTAATCCCCTGGTCACTTTCCTGAGCTGTGTTCCCCGTCCTGTATTCCTGGATTTCTCTCGGATAATCTTTCTTCTCTGTGCTGCAGACACAATTTATGTATCTAGACTGGATTTATGGAGATTCTGGGGTTCAGCTGGCAGCAAAATGTTCATTTTCACCATAAGCATGTTGCATTGACCTAGGCACCTTGGAACATGTGTCTTGGGTCTTCTGCTCCATGTACAAATCCAGAAACATCTCTGACAGAACAATTTCTCCCAGGGTTCCTTGCTCTGTTGTCTGCTGGCTGTGCCGGGTGGAGGGATATGTCTGTATGTCTCAGACCCAAGTCACTGAGTGCAGTCTCAGGAGATGGGAGGCGGTATACTCTGCAGCTTGTCTCAAGGACGCTTACCACTGATTACTGAATACAAATAAATATTATGAGTCCTGAATCTTACACTATATGAAATTGAATATGTATCACACGTCACAAAATCCTAAACCTGAACTCCTGAACTACTGCTACTCTAATGTTTTACATTTCATAGTCCTGACCCCTGCGCCATATACTCTGTTGTATATTATATAATCCTGAAACGCCATGCATTATATACTCTAAGTTGTACTCTGCATAGTCCGTGGCTGAGATCCCATCAACATATCTCTGTGTTGTCCATTACATAATCCTGACCCCCTGCATTATATACTCTTGTCCCAGGGCAGGAGCTGAGGAACGGACAGGCAGGCCTAATAACAATCAATAACGCACTGGCTGGCGACAACCACCACCCACAGACCAAAGTCCCCCAGGGCGCGAGTCTAAGTCCCAGGCTGCCCTTCACCAGGGCCCCTGATGGTGGGGATGGACTTGACGCAGCTCAGGAACCAGGTCGCGGCCCCTGATCTTGAACACCTCTGTTGCGGTACATGGCCGCCTGCCAATGCAGTCAATGTAGCTGGTGGAAAGTCAATAGGGTCGGGCAGGGGTCGACAACAACGGGACAAAACGGTACAGGACAGCAGACGAGAATCACGGGTCACGGGCCGAGTTCAGCAACAGAGGGTCAGATCAAAGGAGAACGCAAAGCAATAATCTCCTCAGGTCACAAGCCGAGTCAGTCAGATTTCCCCAGAGAGAGAGTCACGAGACATACTCATGAACAGAGTCCAATAACAATACAAAGTACACACATGTGACACAAGTGCTAATGCGGGGACATGTGCGGACCACACTTATATGTAATCAGGCCACATCCCCTCTGGGGGATGGACCTCAGAGACCAGAAGGCATAAAAGATTCCCATCATGCAGCCTGCAGTATCCCATGGATGCCAGCACATGGAGTCTACAAACATAACTCTGGGAAAAGGTGGACCTATGACAACTATGTTATACTGTACATTACATACTCCTGACCCCTGCATTATATACTCTGTTATACTGTACATTACATACTCCTGACCCCTGCATTATATACTCTCCTATACTGTACATTACATACTCCTGACCCCTGCACTATATACTACTCTGTTATACTGTACATTACATACTCCTGACCCCCTGCCTACAAGTGATCGCACTACTTCTGGCCTGACCCCTGCACTATAACCCTCCCTGCCCTGCACACACTGCCTAGGATACTGTAGAGGAGGGGCAGGAGATGCACACAGCCATGCTAATCTGGTTGCAGTAACTTCTCTCTGACCCCTGCACCCAGCATCATGCCTACCTATTCTCCTACTGAGGCAAGCTGGAATTGGGTTCTTCTTCAGCAGCTGCTCTCTATCGGTTGCTGTCAAAGAGGGGGATTTGGGGGTAGGCAAGAGAGCTCTATATGGAGGGAGGGGGCAATCTGAGGGGAAAGACTGGGGGAGTCTTATTTTGGGTTTAAAGTTGCCATTGAGATATGCACTCCTAATCCCTGTGCTCTGTACACAGCGTACTCTTGACCCCCTTACTCTGTATGTGCACACTCCTGACCCCTGTCCTTTGTACCTAGTGCACTTCTGAACCCTGCACTCTGTACATAGAACACTCCAGAACTCTGTATTCTTTACATAGATACTTACACACTCCTGAACCCTGCATTCTGTATATAGCACACTCCTCCAACAAACTGCACCCTGTACATAGCACCTCGTGGACTCTGCACCCTGTACATAGCACACTCGTGGACTCTGCACCCTGTACATAGCACACTCGTGGACTCTACCCTGTACATAGTACATGGACTCTGCACCTAGTGACTCTGTACACCCTGTACATAGTACACTCGTGGACTCTGCACCCTGTACATAGCACACTCGAGGATCTGCTCTGCAACCCTGTACATGCACTCCACGTGGACTCTGCACCCTGTACATAGTGTACACTCGTGGACTCTGTCACCCTGTACATAGTACACTCGTGGACTCTGCACCCTGTACATAGTACACTCGTGGACTCTGCACCCTGTACATAGTACACTCGTGGACTCTGCACCCTGTACACAGTGCACTCGTGGCCTCTGCAAGTCTACAAAAAGTACACTTCTGCACCCTGCACCTGTACATAGCACACTACTGAACTCTATACACAATGCACTCCTGAACTCTGTATGGCGTACATTCCTCAAGCAACTCTGCACTCTGTACGTACAGCACTCCTGATCACCCCTGCAACTCTGTACATAAACACACTACTGAAACTGCTATACGCAGTGCACTCCTGAACTCTGTACATAGTGCACACCTAAACTTTGCATACTTTGCTTAACACCCTCCAAAAACGCTACACTCTGATACATAGCAATAGCACACTGCTTGTACAGAGTGTAAGAAAAAGTGTGCTATGTACAGAGTACATAGAGTTCAGGTGTGAGCTACATCAGGCAGAAGTGTGTACATGTACAGAGTGCAGAGTTCAGGTGTGTGCTACATACAGAGTCAGAGTTTCATATGTCTGGCTACATACAGAGTGCAGAGTTCAGTCAGAAGCTACATACTTGCAGAGTGCACAACCATCCACAGAGTCTTTAGGTGTGCTACATACAGAGTGCAGAGTTTTCAGGTGTGTGCTACAGACATGCAGAGGTGTGTGCTACATACAGGGAGCAGTTCTGGGAACTGCTACATACAGAAGCTCAAGGTGTTGCAAGTAAAGGTTGTGCTACATACATACAGTGCAGAGTTTTGGTGTGGCACATACAGAGTGCAGAGTTTAATTTTGTGCTACCATACACTGTGCACTTCAGGTTTATGCTATGTACAGAATGCAGAGTTCAGGAGGGCTGCTATGTACACAGGGGTGCTGAGTCAGGTGTATGCTGACTCCACAGACCTTCTGCAGTACTCAAAACACTGTCCTATAGGGGCACTCTGTAATACTTATTGCACTCCTGAATCCTGAACTCTGTACATAGCGCCCTCCTCACCTTATCACTCCTGAATGATCTGCGACCACTCCTGACTGCCCTGCACTCTGTATCCTTGCACACACCTGAACTCTGCATTCTGTACATCCATAGCATAAACTGAACTCTGCACTCTGTATGTGCACACTCCTGAACTCTGTACATAGCCCCTCCTGAACTCTGGGGCATTCTGTACATAGCATACTGTAGCACTCTGATGTAGCACCTGAACTCTGCACTCTGTATGTGCACATCCTTTCTTACTGTATGTAGCACACTCCTGAACTCTGCGCTCTGTATGTAGCACACTCCTGAACTCTGCACTCCTTGTAGCACACTCCCCTGAACTCTGCACTCTGTATGTAGCACACTCCTGAACTCTGCACTCAAAAAGGTGCTTCACTCCTGAACTCTGCACTCTGTATGTAGCACACTCCACTCTACACTACGCCTGCACACTCCTGAACTCTATACTCTGTATGTACACACTCCTGAACTCTGCACTCTGTATGTAGCACACTGTTGTACACTGTACATAGTCACACTCCTGAACTCTGCACTTAATACTCTTTTGTACATTACATCTACTCACTGACCCCTGCAATCTGTACATAGCGCTTTCCTGAATTGTGCACATCTACACACTGCAGTATCATTATCCTGACCCTGCACTATTAACTGTATGTTGTATTACACTATACTCCTGACCCCTGCACTCTGTACTCATGTTGATGTACATATGTCCTGAACTCTGCACTCTGCACTACATCTCACACTGTTGTACATTACATACTCCTGATCCCTCACTAATACTCTATGTTGTACATTACATACTCCTGACCCCTGCACTATATACTCTATGTTGTACATTACATACTCCTGACCCCTGCACTATATACTCTATGTTGTACATATACATACTCCTGACCCTGCACTATGGTAGTCTATGTCCTGTACACTCTTACATAGTACTGACCCCTGCACTATATACTCTGTATGTTGTACATTACATGAACTCTCCTGACCCCTAGTACACTATATACTCTATGTTCTGTACATTAC